TCCAACCTGGGTGATTCTGTGATTCTCGTGACCATTCTGTGGAAATCTTCTGCAATATCAACACTACAAATTGCTGCCATTAAGGAGGTCACAAAGTCTACAAACAGTATTTAAACATCAAATCTATAATTCTCATAAAATCACATACTGCAAATAACTTCTTCTAAGCAAAAAATATATAAGAAATAACTGTCTCATAGCAACTCCACACATAAATGTCTGAAAATATGTGGAAAAATATTGTAGCTATCAAAGAAAAATTGTCATGAAACAAGAAGTGCTTGATTTGTAGACATCATACTGTTTTCTCTGGTTTGCCAGCCAGCTATGTATTCATGTGATACAGAGAAAATGACATCAATAGCTACTATAAAATTAAATTAGATTGCATATCCTTATTCTGTCCTCTTGTCTTATGTAGTCAGTCCTACCTGATGAAAAACAGTATTTCTTTCAGTGACACGAAGTAGAAAACTTCCTTTCTTTCCTTTCCAGAAAACTGGCTACATGAAGTACCATTCACTGACACAAGACCTTGATTTTTGTTCCACCTTCATATGAACAAATATTTAACCACAGTCAAGTAGAGGTACATGGGCAAACGAGGTAAATATCTGTTTTGTCTGAGGAAAGAGGAATCAGATCAACTAAAATATACACTCATTTCACCTCCTGCTGATGAATGTGAATTGATTGAGAGAGGATGATAAGATGGGAGTTGTATTTATTACCAGGAGCAAATGACTCCTTCCAGTTGCAATAAGAACAAAAATTATCCCTGGAGGTCTTAACTCTACCCCTCTTTTTTCTTCCAATACAGCAAGGTCTGGCTTTGCCCTCATCCTATATACTCTTCATACTTTTATTGGCCACTAAGAGCAGTTGATAAAATAATAGTGAGTGATAGCTGACCTCCGGGCAGGTGAGAAGAATGGTTCTAGTGTTTGCTGTGGCTAAGCAATGAGAAAGGTTGAGCCCTGGAGAGGGAAGGATATTGGAGTCACACATAGAAGTCCTGTACACTGAGAATGAGCAGGAAAGCATAGGAGGGCATAATGGAGAGAAAAGGCAGGCAGCTTAAGATTATAAGAGCAACGTTGCCACTTGTCTTCAGGTTCCTAATGCTTCCCTCAGCTACCAGGTGATTTCCCCCTGCCCTGTTGCCCTCTTGACCCATCCCAGTCTCATCTATTACAAGCAACTTCTTAACACTGCAGTGCAGGAGGTAGATGTCAGTTAGGCACCAGTGTGTGTTTTGCTTGCCATGAGGCAGTTTATGCCAACAAGAAACTAAGACAGAGGAAAGTGCATGAAGCATGCCTCAGCTTCCTGTGAGGCAGAAAACGGAGCCCTGGATAGGCCCAAGGAAGGTTTGCCTTTAAGCCACATGCACAAACCACAGTGGGAGTGTGAGCAACAGCTCAGGCAGCTGTTGTCAAATGCCTGGGCAGAGCTAACAAGCTCAGTGTTAATGTCTTTTGAAAATAATCATGTGAATTCAGAGCTAAACACATGGATAACTTGCACTAGCCATGAGAGCTGTGTTATGGAGTGTCAGACACTGCAGGTATTTTCCCAGTCTCATAGAGGAGAGATGCAGTATTCCCGCCTTTGATTATCCCCATCAAATTCAGCATGGAAAGACAAGAATATCTCTGGAGAATGGCATGGGTGTCAGGGAAATATGTTTTTAGATTTTTATTTGGCAACGAAATCTCTGAGACTGGACAGGGTAGCATAAATGGCTGCAGATTTCTGGTAAGAAAGTGGAAACAGGAGTGAAAAAGTTATATTTGGAATGGAGTTTCACAGCAAACACTCTGAGACCTCACATTTGAAGATTCAAAGATGGATGATGGCTGGTCTGAAAAAAGGGAAAATTGTGCTCAGAAATCTCAAAAGGATATAAAGCAGCTTCTCAGTTCATCATGTAATTTCTCCCATCCAATTGATGGCAATATTATGACAATAATTGCATATCTGTTTGACAACTGTACACTGCCAGTCTTTTTAATGGACCTCTGTGTTTTCAAAATATCCCTAAATGATACAGTTTTTAATGAGCTACACAGCTGCAGGCTTGTTACTAATTTATGATAGAAATAGTGCTATCATGCTTTTCTTGCCTCTTGATAATATTGTAACATGAGTCTGAGGTAAGCACTTCAAAATAATTATGGTTCCATAATATTTTAAATTGAGATCTGTTCCTTTTTGTTCCATCAAATCCTGGCTTTTGCTTATTTTCAGTTTTGCTGATAAACAAGCAGAACTTGCAGTTATGAATAAGGATTTTATTTTTCATTGCAGGTCTGATGTGTATACTTGCAGATAGCTGCAATGCATACAAATTGTGCAGAACGTCAATATTATTAAAAGAGTTGTAGAATCACCAAGGCTGGAAAAGACCTCCAAGATAATCCAGTTCAATCATCCACCTACCACCAAGAGCAGCACCTGGCTTGTTTGGTCTTGCTGATCTTCACCCCATTGGCCTCAGCCCAGCAATCCAGCTTGTCCAGAACTGGTACTCTGAAGATACCCAGGGGTTAATTGGTCTGACTTTTAAAGATAGATGTAAGGAAGGCATTGAGAACGTCTGTCTTTTCCTTATTCTTAGTGGTTACATTTCCTGCCTCCTGATTTTCCTTAGCCCTCCTCTTACTGTTGTTTTTTTTTTTTTTAAATAAAAGTTTTGCTTCCTTTTACCACAGTGGCCAGGTTGAGTTCAAGCTGGGCTTTTGCCTTTCTAATTTTCTTCCTGCATATCCTAATAACTTCTTTGTACCGTCCCCAAATTGCCTGTCCCTTCTTCCACAGTAGATACTCTCTTTTTCTCCCGGAGCCTCAGAAGAAGTTCCCTGGTTTCTCCATGCTAGTGTCCTTCCCTGATGTCTCATGTTACAGCACAGGGAGATTGCCTGCTCCTGTGTCTCTAAGACTTCCATCTTGAGGAGTGACCAGCCTTCCTGGGCTCCCGTACCCTTCAGGGCTGTCTCCCAACAGATCCTTCCTACCAGTTTCCTGAACAGTTCAAAGTCCACCCTCAGGAAGTCCAAGGTAGCAGTTTTCATAACTTCCCTCCTGACTTCACCAAGATTATAGAACTCTACCATTTCATGGTTGCTCTGCCCAAGACAGCTCCCAATCTCCACAACTCTCATCAGTCCTTCTCTGTTTGTGAGCATTAAATTGTGAACTCCAATCCTGTCATAATTCCCCCGTACTCATCTTCAACAAGCCTGGTTTTATTCCCTTCCCTCTTCACATCTAGTTTAAAACCCTCTCAACTAGCCCTGCAAACTCCTGGGCTTGGATCCATTTTCCCCCTTTGCAACCCATCAGACTCATCAGCAACCACGATGCCAGATGCTGAGTAAACCACCCCACTGTAAATAAACGAATGAATAAATAAAAATTCCTGTGATTGCACCAGCCTCTCAGCCCTGTTTTTATGAAATGGGTTTTCCTGGTTTTCTCAGTATTCCTCACTACCACCTGTACGCCTGCTCCACCAACTGCCCCACTGCCCTGAAGTCCCTTTTGATGGCTCTCACGTTTCTCTCAGCAATATCATCGCAGCCTATCAGTACGGGATAATAATCAGAGGGGTGAACCAGACCAGGAAGTTTTTATTAAAAACATTACTTACAAAGATACAGTTGTCTAATCCTTCCTTATCTTAACATTTGGGAAAATGAATGAATTTAATAAGAAAACAAACACCTTAAATGCTTCTTGTATTCAGATTGCTCATAACACCCAAGTGATTCTAGTCATCCTAGTCACATTAAGACTTTTCTCAAAGGCAAGAAGGTATAAAATATTCTCAGTTGTCTGATTCATTTCTTTCACTGCTGGCAAACTATAAAAGCCATTTTAGAAACCCAGGAATAGGAAATGTTCATAAGCCTTCTCCAGCCATTTTGAGAAGGACTGATGACGTACTCTGCCTGAGTATAAACCCCAGGCCTCAGGACTACTGCCTCTTATCAATTTTCAAGACTGAAAAACAAAAGCAAAATTCCTTTGAGACATAAATTTTTGTAGCAGGCTTCTAAAAATTAACCATTAATGTGTAGCACTTACAAGTGCACTGCTGCTGAATAAAAATTTGGCTTTTGAAGCACAAGTAACTTTTATTCCACATTAACATATATAAAACTCCAAAAGTCCTGGCACAGTTTTTCTGAAACTGTAGCTTAACACAGACAAAAATTAACTGAATTCTGCTAGTCTTCCAGCTATTAAAAACTTCTTCACTGGACAGAGGAGACTGAATAACCTATAATCAAATTTCACAAAGTTTCAGCTGTGATACAGGTTAGTCTATTAAGCATTCTTATGCTGAAGGATGTTGGTATCTTCCAACAGTACTATCCTTGATCCATTGGCAATTACAGATTTCTATAAAAATAAATGGCACATTGGGTAATTGGGAGAAGTAATTAAGCCTTCTTTATAAGAGAGAAGTACTGGAACAAGAGACTTCATTGCTCAGTCTCTGGATCACATAAGGAGGCCTGAACAAATGCTGACTAACCCAGAGAAAAATAGAGGTTCCTCCTCTATTTTCTATCAGTTATGAGCTGATCTGAATTAAACATTCATCTCCCCCACTCACAGCTCTGGGCCATCTCAGTGCTCGCTGGGGTTATTGTGCTGTGGTCTACCACGTAAATATTTTTCTGAATACTCATTAGCTCAAATTCATTCCACTGAACTATGTTAAGGAAGAACCAAACCAACTAACTGGAGAGTGAGCTAATGAAAAGCAGAGGATAATAATACATTAATCCAGGTTAGCAGCAGCCAAGTAAATTTCACTTCATGCAAATACTGACACAGAAACACAGATTCAGTGGAGGCTGGAAGGAGTATATGCAGACATCCTGGGATACTGGGCTAATGGAAAAAGATATCTGAACTGTCTATCAGGAGAGCTTTTGAAGAGAACCAAAACTCTGTGTGTTCCCTATGAAAACAGACATTAAGTTTACCTGACTACTGCCCTCAGCTTCTTCACTGGTGACACCCCCTCAATCCTTGTCACCCCACAGTTTGCTTGTTGACCTACAGAAAAATGCACTTCAGTTAGAGGAGCTCTTATTTTATTCCCTCATATTACATTTTGGCTTCTAGAAGTGCATAAATCACATTCTTCATGTGGCTTTACCTTCTTAAAAATACCTATACTTACACATTTGGTAGGACATTTGCCTAACAGTTCCCAAAAAAAGTGTTGCTAAAAGAATTTTACAAGCTTCTATGGAAAGCACAAAGATTAAACATCTTGTCCTACTCTGAATTATTGCTTTCTCTAAAGTAAACATAGCAACTGTTAACAGCCTGCAATGGCTTGCTACAGGAAGTGAAAAAAATATCGACTAAGTAATGCAGAGGGGAATACATATACAGAAATGTTACTAAAACATGCAGCCTAATTTTTCTGAGGATATTTAACACTGTCAGCTTTTAAATCAATAGAAAGAGGAAGAAAGCTAAGTAGCTCAAAAAAGGCACTTAATTGGTATGGACTTCAAATATACCTCATGGATGGAGAAATACATTTTCTGCCTTTGGCAGGGACTGCAAAAGAGAAACAGATATCAAAAAGTCTAATAAAAATATGAAAATACTACGATTTGATGAAACAAATGACTATCATAGATCAGCAGTCCATTTTGCAAAACCCGGGAATTAAAAAAATCTCTTAGCATGTATAACCTTTTAAAAAATATCTGGGGATTCTGAAATGTGCTTATCACTGCAGATCACTGTTAAAGGGCCGAGTTTGTAAACATTTCCTATTTCATTGCTGATAGTTATGCTGAGAATTGTTTCAAAGTTAAGAAAACAAGAATTAGTACAACAGAAGTCAAATTTTATTTTAAATTATAGATATTCAGAAAATATTTTTCACAGTTTCATTTGCCTCTTACTTTCTTCAACTGATTTTAAATTCTGAGTAGATGAAGGCTGAGTGAAGTGAGTAAAGACTACAGAAAAGTGGTGTGGATTCATCCTTGCCAATACTTTTAGCATATATTTTGACACAGGAATGTTGCTTCCTAATCATTTTAGCTGATAATTTTTATGTTGGTGGCAGCCTTTTATGAATGACCTTGCAATATCATCTATTACAGTACAGACATTCAGACGAATATAAGCTGAAATTCCTTTTAGTTAAACTAATAGTGCAATTTTAGCAGTTGCACCTTTTGTTAGCCTCTGGGCTTGTCTGTTCCAGTGTAAAGATCTGTATTCCTATTTTAATCTGAACTCCTCTACACCAAATCAGTGCTTATTGCATCTAAGAATATGATGACTTTTCATCTCAAATGTGAATATCTCAGTAGAAGCTGGAGTTATTTACCAAAAGCCAGATCTCTTTCTTTGACCGAGGTCAATGTCAGAAATCAGACTGACCTCAGTTAGAAGGTCAGTAGAACAATGTCCTGGTTTTGAGATCCAAAGGGACTGTTCTAATGCAGCCCAGCCAAAATTACTTCACCAATTGCTCCCATGTAAAGTGCCCCCGCATATGGAGATAGATGACATTCTTTAAAATAATGGCATACAGTGGCCAAGTAAAAGATAATTAGCGTCATGTTTTAAACAGCACACCTCTTTGATGTTTTTGTCCACTATTAGAAAATTAACAAAGGCGTTCAGCACTGTTGAATATATTGCTCTTACACACTGCTTTAACTTATTGATTCAGCTGTGAGCAGGTTTACATAGGCAGCCCAATGTAACTCAGTAACAAAAAGCAAAACTGCTAGTAGAGTAAAATAAGTCCATTAGTAAAAGGACTAAGACACTTTAAATAGGCGTAAAAGGAACAGTAATCACGAATCCTCTGTTAACTAGAGATCATTTGCAGAGAGACAGATCATCGGCTCACATACAGGTGTGGATGCCTGTGGCTGTTTTCTCTACCCTACACGTGAAATCAGTGGGACTTCCAAAATTGTTTTGAAAAAAGAAATCCAAATTGTAGCTTCAAGATTCAGTAAGTTATACAGCAAATTGAATGGTCTAGGTTAATAAACCATCTTCTTGTGATTATTTACTAAACATAAAATTCCAAAACAACTTTAATCTGGAGACAGTACTAAGCGTTTCATACTTGGTCTTAATATTGTAGTAAGTACTGGAAGAAAACTGAGCATGATTTTCCTCCATTTCAGTAAGCTCTAAATTCAACAGCAGTAGTGTTATATGCAAACACAGTTGAAATGCAGGCCAGAGGCAGATCTCTTGCAAAACCTAGGTGACCATAAGTGAAGAAATATATAAAAACAAAAACAACAACAACAAACAAAAAAAAACCCAACACCTCTACAAAATTAACCATGAAAGAAAAAAGAAAAACGTTACTAAATACAAGTTGTACCGGATGGCAATCAGAACTGCTTTTGCTGCATGGTTTTTAATAAACACTCATTTTGTAAGCAAAACAAATGCAACTAGCGCTGACATTGACTTCAGTGCTCATCTTGAGCAGTTCTCATTCTTTCAGTTAATTTTGGAGGCTCCAAAAACTTAAAATGATCAACAAATAATATCACTCACTTCCACATATTTTTGACAAGAAGGAGGTCAGAAAAGTCCTGAGGCTGTAACACAATTTGCCATTTCTCCTCACCCCTTGAGTGACACTATGCTAAAACATGTATAAACTGGTCCTCTGCTAGAACCAGATACACTCAGCTGACTCGAGCCAGGAAACACAAAATTACAAATTGCCCAAAGAGGCTGTGGATACCCCATTCCCAGGTTGGCAGTCTGGTCTATCTCCAGACCAAACGGATCTGGACGTTGGTGGCCCTGCCTATAGCAGGGGGGTTGGAGCTTTGTGATCCTTGGAGCCCCTTCCAGCCCAAGGCATTCTATGATCCTATGATTCTGCTAAGAATTCTGCTTCTATTGCTTCTGAGGACTCTACAGTTCATCTGTCTTTCCCTTGAAATGGCTGCTCAGTAACCCTAAAGCACCTGAACTACCGCCATGATTACTCAGCTTTTCACCTCTCCTGAATTACAGCAAAATTAACACAAAGATTTCATGCAGAGATTAATTTACTCATATGAATATTTCACAGCAGTCTTAAGTATCCTTAACTGTCTCTCCTTTACAAGTTTGTGTATCTCTAATTTCTTTATTCCCACACCATTTTGGATTTAATCTGTATTTTTTTTTCAGGAATCTTTCTCTCTTGGATTGAGTGAGAGAAGAAAATAGTAATATATATATATATATCAGTGCAGGTTAACTGCATTTCAATAATGTTGGGTCCAATTTTGACAAGATTTTACCCCTAAAAATTCTGCAATACTTTCTTTTGATAGAAAAAAGAAAAACATCAATTTTGTCTGTTTAGGTCTTCTATCCCAAGAATCCCAAGACTTTATAAGAATGCAAGAAAAAAATATTTTGTTTCATAAAGTATAGAACTGAGAGGGGAAGTCATATTTATAACAGTCATTAAAATACATCACAAATTGTAATTTTATATTCTCATCTTTTCAATATTTGTCATCATCTTTTTACTACACTTTCCAGAGAATCACCAACTGTATCCATGACAGAAAATAGCAAGAAGCTTCAAGAAAAACCTTACAAGAAATCACTTCCAGGGGAATGGGCACCAACCCAAAACCCAGCTGTCTTTACAGATAAAGGAAGCTGAAAGCAGTCATTACTTATACAAATGCTATTCTTTAAGTAATTATACAAAAAGACACTTAGAATTAGTTACCAACACGACTTCAGCAACAAAAAATGTACATATCAGTTCAGTTTGTCTACAACAAATTTTACAACCATAAAAATGATCACAGGAACGTATTTCTACAGATATGGAGGTATACTTAGGAATAACTCCATATACTGTGATGAAAACTTCTGTACATGTGTATCTTACAACATATTACCTCGACTACTACTTACTCACATACTGTGATAAATTATTTGCTCTCTTACTGAATGAATGTGACAAAGAAAAACAATAATTGTAAAATAATGTTCATATTTCTACAACAAAACAACCTTTCAGGACTACAAACAAACAAAAGGAATCAGTAGTCTTCCAACACTGTTAAAGAATAGTAGATTCATACAGACTCAATAGCTAGATTCAAACAACAGATAGACTCAATTCATGAGCAAGAGCAATCACATCATATTTACTTGTAAACTGTAAAACTGAGTGGGCTCTATATAACCATTGAGTTACTAAAACAAACAGCAAAGTAATCACGGAATATTTAATATGAAAAAAAAAAAAAAAAAAAGGACACAAACTTTCGCTTTTAATATCCATGTCAGGCCATCTTGGATGATAAATTTGTTTTCTAGCATGGAAGTTTAAGCAGGACAAAATAGTGATAGAGCACATGAACGACAATATTTCTAATTCTAGGGGAGATGTTAGAAAATACAGCACAAAGAATGTTCACATATATTGGATTCCAGACTTTTTCATATTTCTTCTCTATTGCTACCACCTACATTGAAGATTCTTGCTTTTTCACACTGTGAAGTAATAAGTAAATAAATAAATTTTTAAAAAGCTAATTTCTTAAAGATGCCAAAACAGTTCTGTACTGGAAGATGAAAGGTTGCCTGTTGTACAATCAATGAATATACAGATAGTACAGTATATCCAGGAGTTTGTCCGATGTAATTATGATACCAGAGTAAGGAAAAGAAAACACTCACCCAATCCTGGGCTTGTGTAATAAACTGCAGTGGAGTGGCTCCCCAAAAGAGACCCTTCCCCCCGGTAGTCAGTTCTTAAGTGGGTCTAGGAGGGGTGCAGCCAGGCTCCAGCCCCTGCAGCACAGCTGAATTGCCTTCACCTGTGCTCCCATGGCTGACTCAGTGCTTGCCTCAGGTGATCAATCAGAGCTTCAGGCCATGATTCAGCAGCCCCATACACCTGTAACACCTAATTTTTGGCTTGCCTCTTTCTTGCATCCTTCTATCTTGAGGGCTCAGATCAGTTAGCTTTCAGAGGACTGAGATAAGGAAATCAATAGATAGAAAGTGCAAGCCAATTCCTTGCT